AACTGAAGAACATCTGGAACCCAAAACAACTGTCAACCAACATCAAAGTCAGAATTTTCAATACAAATATCAAAACAGTTCTACTGTATGGGGCGGAAATCTGAAGAACTACGAAAGCCGTCATACGGAAGACAGAAGTGTTTATTAACAGTTGTCTACGCAAAACACTTCGGATCCGTTGGCCAGACACTGTCATCAACAATCTACTGTGGGGGAGAACAAACTAGATCCGAGTGGAGGAAGAAATCCGGAAGAGGAGCTGGAAGTGAATAGAACACACATTGAGAGAAGCACATAACCGCATCACAGGCAAGCCCTCACATAGAATCCCCGAGGCCAAAAGGAGAGGAGGAAGACCATAGAACACATTACGCGGAGAAATGGAGACAGATATGAGAAGAATGAACAAAAATTGGATAGAAGTAGAAGGGAAGGTCCAGGATAGAGTGAGTTGGAGAATGTTGGTTGGCGGCCTATGCTCCATTGGGAGTAACAGGCGAAATTACGTAAGTAAGTAAGGTACTCAAATTATTGATTTCGTAAATTAAACATGTATCTTGAATTCCACTACTAGGTAATATATATATATATATATATATATATATATATATATATATATATATATATTCATTTTAAATCATTTCTAACTTAATGGCAATATCAAAGCAGTCTAGAATGGATGTACATCTACCAAAAAAAGAGACTTATTAAATGCAGTCCTAAACATTAATAAGAAGATTCAAATAATCAATGTAAAAATGAATTACTCTATCTGTTTATTGAAGACTTATTGATGTCCTTATCTAATGAAAAGTTTCAATATTCATTTATAATTAACATAATTCATTTGTTTCATCCAATCAATCAATATAAACCTATACACTTTGTTATCTGATTTTTATTATTTTTTTTTAAAAATACTACAAATTATATACATTGTTTTCATTGAATGATAGAAATATGAAGAGGGAAAAACAGTAAATAATCTGATCAATATTTAAATGGAAACTGTTTTTAGCGATTTTTTTCTCGTTTTTTGGGGGGCGGAAGAAGAAGAAGAAAAACTCTGATTTCTCTCAGTTTTTTTCTTCTTTTTTGCGGAAAACACAATTAATCATGACATTAATGTTTATTTAAAACTAGTAAATCATCTGATTACATAATTTTATAAAATTAAAACTCTTTTTTTTCTCTTCTCTAATTTGATAAAATATTGAATAGATTAGAAGTTTATAAGTGAAGAATTTTTTTTCATTCGTTGAGATCATAAGTCAATTGAAGCCAGATCATCATGGAAAACCTGGAAGCACTGGACGGCCATGACTCATGATTTCAACTATTGAAATTACTATAATATCCACAAAACCCTTCTGATATGAATCAACATATGTTCATTAGAAACTGACTTCAAGAGATATTCCCGGAGTTCTAATGAGAAGCAGTGACCTATGGGGTTCAACTGGGTTTGTTGTGAGATAGTAACTCACTGATGACAATGGTGGATGTGTCACTCAATTTCGTGAATTAGTTAAAGTTGGACATTAACACTGTTGGATGCTGGCAGCTCAGTGGTCTAGTGGTTAAACATTCGAGCATAAGACTGATAGATCCTGTGTCCGAATTTCGCAAGGTGGTATCATGGATGCACACTGCTGAGGACTTCCACAATAGGATGAATCTGCCATCCAGTGCTTTTAAGTTTTCCATGGCGGTCTAGATTCATTTCACTCATGATCTTAACTATTAAAAATTACTATAATATTCATAAAACCCCTTGTGATACTAATAAATTATTTATTAAAATATTTTCAATTATTCATTAAGAGATAGCTTGTAAAGAGTTACTTAACTAACATTTTGAGAAAAATTCTTGAGATGGAATATTAAATCTCAAAGTATTAGAAATTTGTAATGTTATATGTCAATGTAAGACTATCATTAAATCTCGTTATATTACTGATATAAACTTGACCATATTTGGATTTGATGGAATCAGTAAAGTTGATATATATTTGTATTCATTAAATGATATTTCTCTTTAATTACACAAGGGTCAACTGTTATTTTCAACATATAATTTTAAAATGTTATCGTCTTAATCTTTTAATGCAGATTCGCTTTTATATATTTTGAAAGGTAATTTCAGCAGTTCCAGTGGAAGTCTTGGTCAGTAAAGTTCATCCATGTCAAGTGTGTACCAGTTACCCAATGAACATTATCGGAGACTGTTGTGTTAAATCGTCCATTGACTGAAAATAAACACCCAAGCCATTATATCGATTAAATGGTTTGATCGTTAGGTACTCGTTGGTAGTCACGATGATCTTGGATTCCATGCTGATGGGGTTATTGAAGTGTACTGCTACCGAGAAATATCATACTAAAAAGAAACAGATGTTGAATGTTAACCAATTTCCAGTCATTTTCTAAGATCAGCACATGATGTAAATTATGGATAGATTCTATATTACTGCCTAGTTAGTAGGTTAAAAATTAGTGAATAGTCAGTTCAGTAACTATATATTCATATGAAACTTTTAGAATCATCTGATAATATTTCTTAACGTATATAATGTAAGTCATAAGTTGATGGTTTTGCGGTTTTTGCCGACACTGTTAAGTGTCAAACATTAGATATGGAATATGAATACTAAAATTTTTATATTCATTGTGAAATTAATGCTTTTAAAGTTCAATCCTTCAATGAATTAAATCATACATCCAATAATAAGCCATTATTTCATTATCTTTAGTGTTTCATTCACTTAACAATATTTATTCTCAATGACAAAGTTGAATTGTTTCAGTCCGAATTATCGATTGATTTCGTAGTAAACATTCCAGTTTCTCACAAAATATTGATATTCTAAATATATAGTTAACATCAAGGCTAATAATATAGAATTATTATATGTTCATATAATTGTGTTTTAATATAATGGGAATTTTTCAGGGATTAAAATCTTGTGATTAACCTATTGCATTGTAGGCACTCAATGAGTTCCTGAAATATAACACAAAGTTCACAGAAACGAAAACATCATTGGAATTTATAAACATAACTGTATTGGTTCATATAATTGTGTTTTAATAGAATGGGGTTTGTTTCAGGGATTAATATAGAATTGAAAGTTTATCACATTGATCTTATATATGGAATTAAGAATTCTTACTTCGAAAGTATATTAAACTAAAACTAAACACTTAATCGATTCTCCCTAGATTTTTTTTAAAACAGTTTTGTTTTCAACCGATTTTATTTTATATTTAAGAGAATTTAATTTTAAACCATCAATTGAATAGAGGAATTGTAATAATAGTATTGTGGTGTGTGTTATTTATATCCATATAAGTAGTATATAACGGTGGTCAGGCATAGAATGTATTTCAGCAGAAGATCGATAAGGAAAGAACAGTAACGGAACGCAATTGATATGAAAATACATGAACAATGAACTATGAGACAATGGACTGATATTTACAAAAGAACAGTCAAATTTGAAGCGATGGATTGATATTTTGCAAATTACTTATTTACTATATGATTCCCAGATTTTATTGAGATACTTTGTAATCTCGTGTTCAAGTACATTTGATTGTTCCCACTCGTATTATTATTCACTACAGTATAAAACAATACATGAAAGAGTGGAAGGGAAGTGAATGAGGTCAGAGAACGTAAAAGAGACTTAACATTTAGTATGGTGATCATTGCCATCATTCTCATTCAGTGTCGATCCATACATTTATTATTGACCAGTGATATACGTGTATTATGTAGTGACCTATTCTCCATTTTCACTGGTTGTTGTGATCTGTTCCAATAAACAGATTAGTGATTCTTTATCATCTAAAAATGTTGGTAACGAATTAAATGATGAAGTTAAATCTGTTTGTGAAAGTGTTACACCAGTATTGTCACCTGAACAACAATTCAATCCATTCGACAGTTGATCTGACTATTCAATCAACGTATGGGTTGAAGTATTTGAATTATTCAAATGGTTGAAGTAGCACTGTCTGCAAAGAAACAGCCAAATTTAAAACGATGGATTGGTATTTTGCAAATCACCTATTTCACTGATTGAAATCATGAGTCAACCGAAGCTACACCACCATGGAAAACCTGAAAGCACTGGGCGGCCGTTTCACCCTAGTATGAGACTCCTCAGCAGTGCGCATCCAAGATCCCGCACCCCGCGAGCTTCGAACCCAATACGCAACCAACTAGGCCACTGAGACGGCATCCAATGGTGTTAATGTCTAACTTCAACCAATCCACGAAGTTGCCCCAGCGTACACCATTGTCTTCATTGATTTGATATCTCACAACAGACCTGGTTGAACTTCACTGGTAACGGCTTCTACTTATTTACTATATAATTCTCAGATTTTATTAAGATGCTTTGTAATTTCGTGTTCAAATACATTCAATTGTCCCCATTCGTGTTCTTCTTCACTACAGTATGCATATATATCATTTCATCAGATTAGAATATAAATATAATTTCTATTTTGAATTCATTTGTAATTATGCTTATACGTATATACATTTACTGACTGATCAAAAGCCGAAATTTCATTGGTTAGTTATGAATCATTTTTAATTTAGACGCCAAATACATATACACTATATTATCCAATCAAATTAAATCTGATTGGTGTATTCTCTCATAATTGATATCAATATATTCACGTACATAACAACTACTGACATACAAAAAAATAGTTACCTTTTTCAACATACATCATATATATATATTATATATAGGTAAACAAGTTAAATAAATAGTAAAATATTTTTTTTGTTGCTTTAGTTCATTTATCAAAATAATAAATAACAAAAAAAAATATTGATTCTATAAAGCACAAATATTGATTAATCGAAATTGTGACTATCATTATCAATAATATATATATATATATATATATATATATATATATATATATATTATACACTTATATAAAATAAGTAATATAATCAATATAAGAATGAAATTATGAATTATATATGGTTAATATGGTGTATGCTAACATGGATAACAGCTATCTTATGTACCATTGGTTGTTTATTACCATATTGGTTAGATGGTAAAATTTTTTCCAATTATGAAATCACTACTCATGAACAAAATCTAATAAAACATACTACTACTATTACTACTACTTATAATACAGATATATCAAGTACATTAAATTTATTTCGTCGTTGTATTTATCCAGTATATACAAATGTAATCACAGATATTTTATCAGAAAATCCATTTAAAGCAAAATTATTTTTTAATCAACCAATTAATTATAAATTAAATATAAACCAACATTATTTAGAATCATCACTTATTCATATACAAACTAATTGTGGTTATTATCAATTTTTTGATATACCTCATATAGCATGGAGATTTAGTTTAATCTTATTAATTATAAGTTGTTGTAGTTTATTTTTTTTAGCATTTCTATTATCATTTACTGGGTGTTATTTAAATTTTCTATGGAAATTAAATATACATCGTATATGTCAATTAGGATTATTATTAACTGGTAAGTTTATTTATTAATTTATTGATTCAATCAATCATTTAATTTCAATGTTTTTTTTTTCTGTATTGATTGCTAAATGAAATTTCATTATATTATATAAATATCAGAAAGGGTTTTGTAAAAATCTGGAAAAACTGGAAGTATTGAATAGCCATTTCGTTCTATTGTGGAACTCTTTAGAAGTGCGCATTCATGATTAGTGGAGTTCAATCAAGTCTGTTGTGAGATAGTAACTCACTGAAGATAATGGTGGATGTGTCATTTAATTTCGTGGATTGGTTGAAGTTAGACATTAACACCGTTGGATGCTGATCAGTTCAGTGGTCTAGAAGCTAAGCGTACACACGCGAGATTGAATGTCGTGGGTTCGAATCTCGCGGGGTGCGGTATCGTGGATGCGCAATGCTGAGGAGTTCTACAATAGAACGAAATGGCCGTCCAGTGCTTCCAGGTTTTCCATGGTAGTCTAGCTTCCATTGACTCATGATCGCAACTATTAGAAGGATTACTATAATATCCACAAAACTCCGTCTGATATCAATTAACATACTCTCACTCGTGACTCGCTTCAAGAGGTATTATATAAATCTTTAACTGGTTAATAATAATTATATTACAATTATAGGACAAGTATTATTCATTGATTGATTGACTATATTACAGATTTTTGTATATTGAATGATTCATAAGTTAGGGATGTTATAGAAGTAGACAGTTCGCAAAAAGACTTGTGTACATTTTGAAGGAAGTTTCCGTCTTGAGTTGATGTTAGTTAGAAAATCATCGAAATCTAGAGTGTATTGTTTTATTAGTGAGTAGTAGTGACCAGTATCATGTTAGTCTTACCTTTTTAGTACTGATCGCATCCTATTGATCAAGTGGAGATGAAGCCACTAGTTTAGGTAACTTATGATTGTATGGACTATATATTCGTGTATTATGATTTGAAGTGGTCACGAGAAAACTATGATCTTAGGTTCCATGCCAGTTAGCAGTTATCGGTAAGAGAAGTACCTTGAATATTAAGGGAAATGATGCTACCTGTGGGGTCTAAAATAAATATTACGTTTTTTTAGCTGTTCATATAAGTATATTGTTGTGATGAGTGCCGATCTAGTGCCAATCTAGGTCTAGGGTTTTCGATTGACTTCCTTGAACAACCTACCTTCAAAGCTAGGTTGTGTCAAGCAGACGTTACATTCTGATTTGGTAGTTTTCAAACCTTGTGAAATTATAACTTGAACTTGGAAAGAAACAGTTTTTCCCGTTTGACAGTTATGAGTGAAAACATTCGATTCTCGACAGCTAAGTGTATCTCACTTTTAGTTGAAACATCAGAATCGTCCAATGGATCTCATATTAATTAATCTGAATGTCAGTAGATCTTCTGTGATTGAGTATATGATTTTAATGAATTTGTTAATAAATTATATAATACTGCAAATTTTTAATTCATACAGTAACCTTTATTAATTCTTGATGGTTGAGTTTCACCTTGTATCTGCTCTTCTTACTGTAGTTGAGAAATCATTCGATTGATAAAATAACATTCTCAAAAACACCTAAATTAATGACAAAATCAATAATTTCACTAATTGAAATCATGAGTCAGTTGAAGCTAGACCACAAAACCCTTCTGATAAAATCAATAATTGTCCACTCGAAAAGACAAAGAAATAACCCTTCGTTTTCTAGAATCCTCTTAGGAGTTTCCTACTTGCTTACTACATACCTAAGCCTGTTACTCCTCATGGAGCATAAGCCACTGACCAGGATTCCCTAACCAACTTTGCACTGGGCAATTCTTTCTGGTCGCTGCACATTCTTTTGATGTCTGTTTTCGATTCCCGACGCAATGTGTTCTTTGGTCCTCCTTTGTTCCTGCTCCTTTCAGGATTTTGAGTTAGGGCTTGCCCCGTGATGCACTTTGATGTTTTCCGTCATGTATGTCCTATCCACTTCCATTGTCTTTTCCTAATTCCCTCCTCAGCCGGAAGTTGGTTTATTCTCTCTTACAGTAGGCCATTACTGATAGTATCCGGTCAATGGACATTCGGTATCTTTCGTAGACAATCGTTTATAAATACCTGTACCTTTCGATGACGGTCGTAGTAGTTCGCCAAGTTTCGACTCCGTTCACTAGGATTGTCTTGACGTTTGTATTGAGGATTTTGACCTCGACATTGGTTGACAATTGTTTTGACTTCCAAATGTTCTTCAACTGTAGGAATGCTGTCTTTGCTTTTCCAATCGTTGTCTTTAAATCTGCATGAGATCCTCCACGTTCATCGGTGTTGCTATCCAGATACATGAAACTTACCACCTCGTCCAGATTTTCCCCATCAAGCTTAGTTGTGTTGGTGTTCTTCATGTTGTATTTGAGGATCTTGCTTTTTCCGTTGCGTATGCTGAGGTTTACTGCTGTAGAGGCTGTTGCTACACTGGTTGTCTCGACCTACATTTATTCGTGTGCATAGGATAACAGGGCCAGATCGTCTACGAAGTACAAGTTGTCTAGTTGCATCCAAGATTCCCGTTGTATTCCACGTTTTTTCTCAGATGTGGAGACCTTTATAATCCAATCAACCACCAGAAGAAAGAGGAAGGGGAATGGTAATCAGAATTGTCTGACTCTAGTCTTCGCTTGAAATGCATCCGTCATCTGTTCTTCATTCACACTTTGCACTGTAGTCCGTCGTATTAATTGACGATTTCTCTGAGTAAACCATAGTGTCGAAGAAGGTTCTATGATGTTCTTCTATCTACACTGTCAAATACTTTCTCATAGTCAAGGAATTTAATGTTAAGTAACGAGTTCCATTTAATTGATTGTTCAACATTGATCCGTAGTGTCACGATTCAGTCTGCGCAAGACCGATCTTTACGGAATCCAGCCTGTTGATCTCGCAGTTGGGAGTCTCCTGAATCTTTCATCCGATTCGGTTACACTCTTTTGAAAACGTTTCCTTGTACTGATAGTGGTGTGATGCCTCTGTAGCTGGAAGTTTCTAGAGAATATTAATTAATCAATGTATTTTCAGAAGGTTTCTCACCTTTCAATGGGCTTTCAACACTAAATCAATTTCCTCTTATTTTGTTTTATCAAAAAGCGTGACAAAAATAACAAAATTTGCAAGCATTTAAATGTAAACATTTGCTTTCAGATCAGTAAATATCAATAATAATTTAAAACATTTGGGTTAAATCGCAAGGAAGTTGAAATCACTTATAAGATTACAAGATCATTTAAAAAGAAATAGGTTAGCTCAGTGATAACGTCTCTGACTGTGAAGCTGGGTGACACGAGAGCGAATCCGCCAGGGAGCACCAGTTCCCTCAAGATTACAGGTACATCTTGCTGACGAGTGCCAAGTAGCACGAAAACCGGGTCCAGGGTTTCCTGTAGAAATAGGTTCATTTAAACTGTATCTCTTGGGGTTTAATTTAATTCATAAGCGGTATTGAATCACACCTAAATGATTCTAATCAATATGCATATACTATGTTTTCTGAAAGTTTTAAGTTTAGTTCTTAGTGAGATTGTCAATATAAACTATTGGTAAAGGTTATTGTTTAAGAACGAAATAATTGTGTAATGATCTTAGGTTTCCAATAGACGTGTCGGAAAAAGTATTATTCTATGATGAATACATTATAATGATAACTATCATTGATATCTGATTATTTAATTAATTTAATTCATTAATTTAAATTATTTCGATAGATATAAAATACTGATAATATGATATAAATTATATTATGTAATCAATTGATAATCAATACTGTATATTAGATAATAATAAAAAACGATTTTTTTAGCTTCTCACTAATCGATAGTTGATTGATAATATACCTTACTTATTTTTTCTCCATAGTTTGCAGCCTCTATCTATCTATCTATCTATCTATTTATTTATTTATCTATCTATCTATGTAGATTTAATAAGAAACATTGTATAAAATTACCATTGACTATATTATGAAATTAAAAGAACCCTTTTTTCAATAGTATAATCATGAGTCAACTGAAGCTAGACTATCATGGAAAACCTGGAAGCACTGGAAGGCCGTTTCGTTCTGTTGTGGGACTCTTCAGCAGTGCGCATCCACGATACCACCTCACGGGATCCCAACACAGGATCTATCAGTCTCGCGCTCAAACGTCTAACCACTAGACCAGCATCCAACTGTGTTATTGTCTAACTTCAACTAATCCACGAAATTTAACGACACGTCCACCATTGTCATCAGTGAGTTACTATCTCACAACGGACCCGGTTGAACTGCACTGGTCACTGCTTCTCACTAGAATTACGGAAAACCCTTTTTCGTCTGAAAAATTATTTTTTCTCTTAATTGACAAAAGCTCTTTGTGATCTCAATAATTTAAGGATGTCATGCTCACTTTAAGATTGAAACGTCGTAAGTAGCCTATTGTACATAAATTTGGGTTGATACTATTAAATAAACTAAAATAGACAGAAATAACTATTTAATTATTCAATGGTTGAGATCATGAGTCAATTGAAGCTAGACTACCATTGTTTGAAGTTAGACATTAACACCGTTGGATGTCGGCCGGCTCAGTAGTGTAGTGGTTAAGCGCTTACGCGTGAGACCGATCGGCTTTGGGTTCGAATCTCGCAAGGCGGGATCGTGGTTGAACACTGCTGAGTCCCATAAAATAACGAAGCGGCCGTTCAGTGTTTCCAGGTTTTCTATGGTAGTCTAGCTTCAAGTAACTCATTATCTCAGTTATTAAAATTACTATAATATTCACAAAAACGTTTCTGATATTAATTATTTCTTACTTTCAGCTAATGTCAATTAATACCAAACATATAGGTTTGTTCTAATCTCCACAAACTGATTTCAGTTTGGAAGCAATCAACATTTATTTCGTCTTACTATGATATTTCTTAGTAGAGCGCACCCATAAATTTACTAGAGACTAAACTAAGGACCTACAGGTCTCTCTTTGAAAGTTGAAACATTGGAAA